ACCTGTAACCAAAACCCACAGAACAAGGATACAACACGCTAAAGAGTAACTTATAATCACTAAATGTTAGCACCATTACCTGCTGTTAGAAAGGGATTACAGACGAGGTGGCTCCAGTGAGGGCAGACCTTGACTGTTACTGGATCTGGGGAAATACCTGGATGCCTCTGCAGGAGTTCTGCTGGCTCCCAAATGTCACCGGGTCAGGTACTCCCTATGCATCTGCAGAAAGAGAGCTTTTTAGCCAGAACCGGGCCCTGAGCACAGCTAAAAGCAGCTGAAAGGACACTATGTCCCGGACCCAGATCAGGATGGACTTCAGGTAAATATAGCAAATGTGTCCCGCCCTCCTTCAACCAGCAGCTAGGAAGGAAGCAAAAAGCTAAGCAAGACCCCAGGCGGCAAACAGGCCCAAGGAACACAATATAACTTCAAGTTGAAAATGAAGTTGCTACTACCTATTTGAAGGTGGGCTGTGGAGTCATGTTTATTAATTAAAATTAGAGACAGAATAATCTATTCCTCCAGCAGTTCTTCCCCTAAACCGCTCAGTCTTCACCACTGAGTCTGTCCTCTTGGGGGAGAGGAAGGGAGGGACGACAAGCAAAGAAGTTTACCACTACATATACCAGAAAATTACATTTTGCTGTGATTTTTTGCTTTGATTAATTAGCCGTGTTTATTTGTAGACGTATGCGTGTGAGAGAGCAAGTTTTAAGATGACAAGGAGAAATAAATGAATGATGAGGAATTTATTTCAAGTCTAAGGCCACTGGATGCCCACCGTTTTCTGAAGATAGCAGAGACCGAGATGGAAATGCAGGGTTAGAGCTCCTTGTGCTTGGGGAAGAGGCTCAAAGTGGATGTGGGCTGTCCTTTAAATCCAATTTGCACCCAAATTGGCCCATAGGATACACAAAGCCCTATCCAGGGACTTTCAACTTGCACAATACTCTGTCCAAGAACCCCCTCCCCCTCCATTTCATCTAGTAGCAGTTCTAAAAAGAAGCCATTGCTGAGACAAATGTGGGTTGCTGAGTAAACAGTGCCTGTTTTGTTGAACAAGCCTACCCCCACACCTATATATATACACACACACTGCACTCTATCTCACCATAAAGTCCAATTAAAATAACTAAGGGGAATTCAAACTCACTTCCCCCAAAAGTGCAAATGACCTTTGTTTGTTAGGGAGGATAAATCTTAAATATGATGATATTAAACTATTATCTATTTCTATACAAATGTCCTATTTTGAGAGACTTGCATACACGCCATTCTTAAAATAATATAGCACATGCTTAATTTACATGCAAAACATTTTCCCAGTCAATATAAGCTCTTGGCACATAAAATCAGATTATTACAGCTCTCATTAGCAGACCCAGGTTTCTGCTCTTTGAAAGTAAACAGAAGAAAAACTTATTTTCACCTGCTAAAATTTTATGCAAGATTACAAAACAATGCCCACTCAGCTCTGACCTAAGAAACACCTTAAAACATTAAAAATTCATCAGTCAGTGCTGGTGTTGTATTCAAGGAATGCTTCTCCAGTTTGCTGCTGAGCTCAGATTTGAATAAAATGTCCAATGTTAACAAACAATACCCACGTTTGGCACTTTGTGTATTAAATTGATCAAACAGATTTTAGGAGGCACAATGCACAATTTGTACAGACCTGATTGAGTTAATATAATATCAGCAAATTTTACATAGAAATGATTCTGTTTCTTTTCTTTGTGTTTAAAACCAGCACAGATTACAAATTTTAATGATCTGAAAATGTTTGGTATACAAAATCATGCTTATTTCAGTATTAGCAAAAACACAAGAAATTTTTCAACACAAACACCCAGCTGTGTCTATTTTAAAAGCAGTTCAATGACAGCTTGCACTTATGAGCATGCAATCAGCTAATTTCGCTTTTTTTTCTTCTGTGTTAATCAACACTTTCCTTCCTGCATATCAGAGTACAAATAGTATAGTTACTCCACATCAGTAAATGTTTACGTAACCTGTCCTTTCCCAAGAATCCGGTTACACCGAATCATTTCACGCTAGACCGACTACGAAAACGTACCGGGCCGTCCACCTCTGAGGGAGCCCTTGTGTGCCATTATAAGTGGAGATGAGAAGGGGGGCTGTGGGGGGAGAAATGGGGAGGAGTAGGTGGAGGAATGGAGTGAGGGAAAGGAATGGAGGGAGGAGAAGTGGGGTGGGGGGGCGGAGGAAGAGGGGAGGAGGGAGGAAAGACAGTTGAGGAAAAGTAGGAATAACAGGCCTGAGGAGGGGAGATGAGTGGGAGGAGGAAAGAGAGCCGGAGGAAGGCGGCCCGCAGATCTCTTCAGCTGGTCCGCAAAGCCCATGAGCTCACGGGGCTCTGTAAGAAATGTAGAGCCTAGAAGTCAGTTTGGGGGGCCATGCCATTATGATCGCTGGAACCCTTGATATTGTGCACATGTAAATATCGTTTGTTTTAAAATAAGGAAATACTTAGACACAGGAAGAAATACCTAATAGACACAATGGGAGGATATTTGAGGTTAAACCGATGTCCAAACCTCTTTTATGGTGTTCCTAATAAGAATCACCATTTGTAATTCTTTCATAGTCTCTCTCTCTCTCTCTCAGCTTTTCATGGTGGAGGGTGAGGTGGAGTGTGTGGACTAGCTCCCCTATTAACCTGAGCATTCATCAACTCCGTTCTTCGTATCAGAATTGCACTTTACTATCACATATAGGCATCACTTTTTCGTTTTCCGTTTTCTGATATACCAAAACCGCCAGATAACTCGAGACTCTCCAAGTGAAGAAACGTTGACATTGTTTGATTATTTACCTTGCAGAGGAGGGAAAGGGGACTATTCACTTATGCTTCTCTTCCACCTCCCTCTTCTCTCAGGCTACATCCTCCGTAAAATGTGGTATGTTTCCTGGCCATGTGGGATGGAACAGCCTTTGATCAGTGTGCTCCACACCAAATTCCAATCCCTGGGAAATGCTGGGCCTTAGCCCTGCCCCTGGCCATGGGATCCTTTTAAAGCCCCCAATCACAATCTCCCCCACACTTGAGCCGCCAACCGAACCTTCTCAGTGTTAAAGCCCAAGAAGCCGGGATTGTGGAACCCACGTTCCCGAGGCTCCTAAGTGTCTTCCAGCAGCAGCATTCAGAGTGGGGAAGATCGGGCTTCAGCCTGAGGTTATTTCAGGATGGAGGCCCGCATGAAATAAAAGCACTTGAGAAATGCAAAGCAAAAAAGAAAAGAGGGAGCGAAAATAGGAAGGCTTAACAAAAACAAAACCAAAACAAAACAAAACAAAAAAAAACAAAAAAAAAACGGGAAGAAATAGACGCCCACCCTAATTTTCCCTCCAATGTCAACAAGCAACAGGAAAGCATTTCCAGGGTGATGGCTCGCGGCTACTCGCTTCCAGCTGGGATTAGAAGCTGAGCAGGCGCTGGAGCGGCGAGGAGAAAACCACCCCGAGTCCCCCCGAGCGGGAGCGCCGGTCTGGAGCAGAAGAGAAGGGACAGGAAGAGGCGCAGAGAGAGCATGTGTTACCTGGTTTATTTCGAGATTGTTTGGTATTGTTTTCTCTCTGAGCACCCCTCATTTCGGAAGGCCACCACCGACGCCCACCACTGAGCCGCCCCCGCCCGCCGTCGCCGTCGCCGCGCCGGGAGCCACAGGCCCGGCTTCCCGGCGGCGCCCGAGCTCGGAGTAAGTAACCCCCGTGCGGCCCCGCGCCCGCCTGCCCACTGCCTCCCACTCGCCCCGCCGCCGCCGGCGCTCCTCGACCCTCCCCCCGCCCCGAGGTATGGGACCCCCCTCCTCCCCTCCCCCGCCGCCCGGAGCCTCGCCGGGGGCTGACCCCCGAGGGCCCCGGTCTCCCCACGGGCTCGGGGCCGCGGGCCCCGGGCCTGCGGGGCCGCCTGGGCGAGCGGCGCCTCGCCTCGCCTCGCCTCGCCCCTTCCTCCCGCCCGCGCCGCGGTCCTCGGCCCGCACTCCCACGCCGCCCTCCGCCGCCGCCGCCGCCGCGCCCCCGCTTTTAAAAATAAAATCGGATACCGACTTTAATCACTAAGGACAAATATTGACGCTCAAACGCAAACGACCCGCGAGTGTGAGGAGGAAGCCGGCCCCGCGGGCTCCCCGCCCTGACGGGGGCACTCGGCCGCGGGGCGCGGGGCGCGGGCGCGGGCGCGGGGCGCGGGGGCGCGAGGAGGGCCGCGGCGCCGCGTGCTCCCGCCGGCGTATCCCTGCGCGCCGCGCACGGCCGGGAGGCCGCGGCCCGAGGCGCGGGGGAGGCGAGCGCCCGAGGGGGCGGGCGCCGGCGGGCGGGGCCGGGGTGGGTGGGCTCGGGCCCGCCGATTGGCCGACGGCGGGAGAGACGCGCCCGCACGCCGCCGGCGCTGATTGGCCCAGCGGTAGGAAAGGTTAAACCAAAAATTTTTTTACAGCCCTAGTGTGCGCCTGGAGCTCGGAAAATTAATTGTGGCTATAGCCGCCTCGATCGCTGTCTCCCCAGCCTCGCCGCGGCCGCTCCGGGACGCGCCCGCCCGCCGCCCGGCTCTCCCCCCCTTTGGGCTGCTGCTGCTGCTGCTGTGACTGCTGCTGCGAGAGGAGGAGGAGGAGGAGGAAGCAGCAGAAAAGGGGGGGGAGCGGGGGGTGGGGGGAGCCCGAGAAGTGGAGTTGGGAGCGAGGGAGCGTCACCCCGGGGCGGTGGTGGTTTCTTTTTTTCTTTCTTTCTTTTTTTCTTTCCCCCCTTTTTTTTTTTTTTTTTTTTTTTCCTCCTTCTAATTCCTGAGGGGTGGTTGCTGCTTTTGCTACATGACTTGCCAGCGCCGGAGCCTGCGGTCCAACTGCGCTGCTGCCGGAGCGCTCAGTGCCGCCGCCGCCGCCCGCGCCGCCCGCGCCCCGCTCGGCACCCACCGGCCGCCGCCGCCGCCGCCGCCGCCCCGCGCCCGCGCCGCCGCCGCCGCCGTTTCCCCCCGACGACTGGGTGATGCTGGACATGGGAGATAGGAAAGAGGTGAAAATGATCCCCAAGTCCTCCTTCAGCATCAACAGCCTGGTGCCGGAGGCGGTCCAGAGCGACAACCACCACGCGAGCCACGGCCACCACAACAGCCACCACCCCCAGCACCACCACCACCACCACCACCACCACCACCACCCGCCGCCGCCCGCGCCGCAGCCGCCGCCGCAGCAGCAGCCCCCGCCGCCGCCGCCGCCCCAGGCGCCGCAGCCCCCCCAGGCGCGGGGCGCCCCGGCCGCCGACGACGACAAGGGCCCCAGCAGCTGCTGCTCCCGCCGCAGCCGCCGCCGCCGCCGGCCGCCGCCCTGGACGGGGCCAAAGCGGACGGGCTGGGCGGCAAGGGCGAGCCGGGCGGCGGCGGCGGCGGGCCCGGGGAGCTGGCGCCCGTCGGGCCGGACGAGAAGGAGAAGGGCGCCGGCGCCGGGGGGGAGGAGAAGAAGGGGGCGGGCGAGGGCGGCAAGGACGGGGAGGGGGGCAAGGAGGGCGAGAAGAAGAACGGCAAGTACGAGAAGCCGCCGTTCAGCTACAACGCGCTCATCATGATGGCCATCCGGCAGAGCCCCGAGAAGCGCCTGACGCTCAACGGCATCTACGAGTTCATCATGAAGAACTTCCCGTACTACCGCGAGAACAAGCAGGGCTGGCAGAACTCCATCCGCCACAACCTGTCCCTCAACAAGTGCTTCGTCAAGGTGCCGCGCCACTACGACGACCCGGGCAAGGGCAACTACTGGATGCTGGACCCGTCGAGCGACGACGTGTTCATCGGCGGGACGACGGGCAAGCTGCGGCGCCGCTCGACCACGTCACGCGCCAAGCTGGCCTTCAAGCGCGGGGCGCGCCTCACGTCCACCGGCCTCACCTTCATGGACCGCGCCGGCTCCCTCTACTGGCCCATGTCGCCCTTCCTGTCCCTGCACCACCCCCGCGCCAGCAGCACTTTGAGTTACAATGGCACCACGTCGGCCTACCCCAGCCACCCCATGCCCTACAGCTCCGTGTTGACTCAGAACTCGCTGGGCAACAACCACTCCTTCTCCACGGCCAACGGCCTGAGCGTGGACCGGCTGGTCAACGGGGAGATCCCGTACGCCACGCACCACCTCACGGCCGCGGCGCTCGCCGCCTCGGTGCCCTGCGGCCTGTCGGTGCCCTGCTCCGGGACCTACTCCCTCAACCCCTGTTCGGTCAACCTGCTCGCGGGCCAGACCAGTTACTTTTTCCCCCACGTCCCGCACCCGTCAATGACTTCGCAGAGCAGCACGTCCATGAGCGCCCGCGCCGCGTCGTCGTCCACCTCTCCGCAGGCCCCCTCGACCCTGCCCTGTGAGTCTTTGAGACCCTCTTTGCCAAGCTTCACGACGGGACTGTCCGGGGGACTGTCTGATTATTTCACACATCAAAATCAGGGGTCTTCTTCCAACCCTTTAATACATTAACATCCCTGGGACCCAGACTGTAAGTGAACGTTTTACACACATTTGCATTGTAAATGATAATTAAATAAGTCCAGGTATTTTTTATTAAGCCCCCCCCCACCCCTTTTCTGTACGTTCGTTCAGTCTTTAGGGTTGTTTATTATTCTAACAAGGTGTGGAGTGTCAGCGAGGTGCAATGTGGGGAGAATACATTGTAGAATATAAGGTTTGGAAGTCAAAATTATCGTAGAATGTGTATCTAAATAGTGACTGCTTTGCCATTTCATACAAACCTGACAAGTCTATCTCGAAGAGCCGCCAGATTTCCATGTGTGCAGTATTATAAGTTATCATGGATCTATACGGTGGACGCAGACCTTGAGAACAACCTAAATTATGGGGAGAGTTTTAAAATGTTAAACTGTAATTTGTATTTAAGAAACATTCGTAGTAAAGGTGCCCAAGAAATTATTTTGGCCATTTATTGTTTTGTCCTTTTTTCTTTCGAGCTGTTTTTTTTTTTTCTTTTGTTTACTTTTAGACCAAAGATTGGGTTCTAGAAAATGCACTTGGTATACTAAGTATTAAAACAAACAAAAAGGAAAGTTGTTTCAGTTGGCAGCACTGCCCATTCAAATGAATCGGAAGGGGACAAAATTAATGATTGCCTTCAGTTTGTGTTGTGTATATTTTGATGTATGTGGTCACTAACAGGTCATTTTTATTTTTTCTAAATGTAGTGAAATGTTAATACCTATTGTACTTATAGGTAAACCTTGCAAATATGTAACCTGTGTTGCGCAAATGCCGCATAAATTTGAGTGATTGTTAATGTTGTCTTAAAATTTCTTGATTGTGATACTGTGGTCATATGCCCGTGTTTGTCACTTACAAAAATGTTTACTATGAACACACAGAAATAAAAAATAGGCTAAATTCATATATATCTTGATACTTTTGTCTCTTTTATTAAGTAGAACTAATTCTTAAAAGACCAGTAAAGTGCTAGGGAATCAAAGGCTTTGTCAGCCATGCTGAGATTTAAACTGCTCCTTCCATCTGAAATGAGACTTTAAAAAATGAAAACAGTACTTTTTTTTTTCTCCCCCCCCCCACTGGGGAATCAAATTTTACATGGAGCAGTTTATTTAATAAACACTGGCTTTAAACAAAGTAAAGGCTTTTCAGCTGATATCTTTTTTAAGTTTCTGTCGATATACAGCAAAAAGATAATTTAATTTTATGTGCATAGCTATTTACCTTGTGTTTATTTTCAAATCAGTTTATAGAATGCTTACTTTTTATATATGTTGTTTCAGGTCTCTTATTTATAGCATTTGGCAAATGATAAATAAATATATGTATATGGTTAGATAGAAGTGAATATAATGCACACATATGTACTATATATAGACACACAGAGCCCTTCAGTTCAGGTACAATTTGCGCTATGAATGCTGCAAATATTTTTGTTTAAATATTTGTATTTATACTTTCTAAGTCAGCATTTATTTTTGTGGCTGTTTACCCACAATGAAAGAGTTCTAATAAAGATTTGCTGAAGTTGCAATATAGATTTTGCTGAAGTGATCACCTGTTGTAATGACTTGCAGATCAATGTTTATATTTTATTTTTAAATTATAACAATTGAAAATCTAGATGTTCAGAAGAAGTAAAATGCCTCTCTCTCCTTTTCTTTCATTTTTTTTTTCCTATGTAGAGGTATTTATTTGACTCCCGTTTAAATATGTCTGTGTAATTTAATCTAGAGATTTGTTCCTTTGGCTTACAGTCATAATTTTGTTTCAACTAGAAATATACATATGTATGCATATATATGCATATATATGAAACATAATGAAAACAATTTTTGAATTGTTTCAGCAGCCCAATTGCTCTGACTCCAGAAAATAATTAGAAAATCTAAGTAAAAAGGTTTAGTAACTAATTGGATCCTGTGGTGAGTCTGTGGAGGACAAGTTGTTCATTTGTTACAATTGTATCGTCTGAAATGTGTTCTGCAGTAATGCAATAAGCTGGCTACTTCTTACAATGGACCCAATGAAAAATAATCTGTCCCCAAGATGTTATCGGCAAACACTTAAAGAGTTGCTGGGGGTGGGGGGGAGCCCTAAGAGAGATGCAAGCTGACTCAAATAGATTTTGAAATAGAAATACAGAACGGTTAATATTGGAACGTGGGGATGGGTGTGTTGTGGGATGCAGAGATAGGGGAAGAGTCAAAGAAAGGAAAGGGAAATAGGATCTGTAAACTGAAAAGATAAACCCACCACAAAAAAAAGGAAGCTGGAAAGAAGGAAAGAATGAATCAGAGGGAGAGAGGAGAGAGGGCGATGAAGGGGTTGGGGGCGGGTGTGGAGAGAACTGTAGGAAAGACAGAAAGGGCCAGGAAAATTAAAATAACTGCAACCAAATATACACAATTGGTAATGTACCAAAATACACCAAGACAGGTACTTTATCTCCTTTGAGCAGACTGGACATTATTATTATTTTTTTTCTTCTTAGTATGAGAGCAGTTTTATGAAAGCCCAGGTTTCTTAAAATTTAACGATTCTTTAGAAAGAAGCATGAAAGAAAATTCCACAAATTGTTTTAGAAGCCAAATTTGTAGTTGATATTTAAAAACAGTAATAAGGTCTAAGTGAATGACATTAGGCAGAGGAAATCCCCATTACACAGATAGCTGAAAGAAATGCATGTGTTTAGACTGAAAAAAGGTGTTGATGTATTATTTGATTTTCCCATGGAGAAGAAATATAATATTTTGCCTATCAAAAGTTAAGAAGAAAGTTGAACTCTTGTTTTGAGGTAAAGAGACACAGACATTGAAGAGAGGTTTTCCCCTTGAATTTTTATTTCTGGCCATATTAAATAAGTGTAATTATTTGTGCTAAGTGTTTATTTGCATGATGGATGAATAGAATATCAAGTATCAATGGCAAACTTCATACTTTGAGGTCAAGGGTAAAGTTGACTTCTTTGGATTCACAGGAACTAAGCACTGGCGTGGAAGTTCTATTTGGATATATGTCCAAGAATAGCATGTTTAATAATATGAGTGGATATACAGAGGTGTGTGTGTGTGTGGGGAGAGAGAGAGAGAGAGAGAGAGAGAGAGAGAGAGAGAGAAAGCCCGAGAACGCTATGGGAAGGCCTCCTCAAGTCCGATAGGAACATTTCATCTACCTCAATCTGTCCTATCATCCTCAAGTTATCTTCTTCAAAAACACATGACAGACTAGCATAGCATTTAATTTTTTTTTTTTTTTGCCAACAAGTTGGTTGTAAAGTTGTGTTGATATTTGTTGTCACCAACCTTTGCCAGTTAAAATTAGCTTATGGCAGATAAACACTTCAAAACTTTTTTGAAGCTTTTCTTCTTTCATGTTTCTAATTGATTTTAATGAAACGGAGGTTGCTCTTTTTGAGACGTGTAGCTGAAAGTGATTAGAACTTAAAATACCAAATTATAGTTTAATTCAAGGTTTAAAGCACTTACTTGTCTAAGGTATAAAGTGTATAAAAGCTAATAAAGTTAGTATATAAACCATTGAAAAATGATTTCATGAAACTATAGAAAAGTATTTTCCCAAATATCTTTCTTCTCACAAAATTGGAAATCAAATGAGGTCCAATACTTAACAAAGATTTCGTACAAATATATTTATGGTTATGGAAGATTTCGTGCAGTTTCTATGAGTTGCATAATATAGAGGGGAGCGTGGCCAAAAAAAAAAATGAGTCTTGTAGTGGATTGATTTCATTATATATATTTAAGTTGGTGGATATTTCACCCAACTAGGTAGACGCAACAAATATATTCAATGCTCTAAATTATAAATGGCTTGTTGAAGTGTATTTTCTACGACATTGTTGAGGAATTTGCATGCACTGAAATAATTTTGCTTTTGAAAAATGACGTTTTTGAGTAGCTAACGTGGCTGGTTGTGTTTGGACTAAATGTCTGTTGGAGAAATAGGCTAACAAAGGGTGAAGGTGAAGATCATTAGAGGTTTTAGAGCTGGCTGAGGCGGATTGCTGGGGTTGTGTAACTGTGCCTAGAGGGCGGGGTTCCTGTACATTCCTACTTCACCAGATAACCTGCCCCCAACACCACTCCAGCTTCTGCCAGACAGATGGAACTCTCCAACATGAAAATCTGCGCAGCCATTCCAACAAGCAGGGTAGGTGAAACTTGAATTAAAATTCTCCCTTCTTTTTTTCTGCTTGAAGCCTGATCCTGGAGATATGTAAAGAATACGGGTCATCTAGATTCTCTTTTCGCGCATACGCACGTCTGCATGCTTTCTTCCTAAGAACTACCTACCTGTAAGAGTTCAAAGGCGCTATCTTTCACAGTACTTCATTCTCAGTTTTCTTTGCGTGCGTTTTTTTTTTTTTTAAGGCTTTCTTTTCTCACCCCAATGATTCCCCCTTTCTTACCCTCCCTCTAGGACCTCCCCTCCCCCCAACCACCAACAGTTAAAATAATCCACCTCTTAGTTTTCAGCCCCCAAACCGACCTTTTTCCCCACTCTAGTGGTCAGGTCAGTTCTCAGGGACCTAGTCCTGAGGACGTGGGCCAAGGAGGCTCTGGGGAATAGATGATGTAGTGTTATGTTTTGAGTCCTTTTTCTCCCTCCCGATTTCTATCTTTTTTTTTTTTTTTTTTTTCTCCCCTCTCTCGGAAGACTCTGCCTGAAGTTGTCCGAAGAATGCCGAGGAAAAGGACTTAAGGACTGGGAGCGCTCTTACCCCAAGATCGGTAAGTGAAAGTGCTTTTCTGATGGGGAGGGGGCTGTGCCGACAGACTGCTTTTGACTGAGGTTTCAGCAGCGACTTTGAGGTTCGGGTCTAAAATGCCCCTCTGGGGCGGGGTAATATTTCCTCAGCGGGCTCGCTCTCAACGGAAGTAACTGTGAGATTACATGATGTGTCCACGTCGGCAGAAAGTCACGGTGAATCCATTTAAAAGGAGCATGTATATATAGCAACGAGGATGGAAGAGAAAATGA